GTAACTGGCTCCTGGACTTTCTGACGGGCGGGGACACAGCAGCCTACAGGAGGGAGGTGGCCGGTCTGGTGTCATGGTGCAAGCACAGTAATGTCAGCCTCAACACGGGCAAGATGAAGGAAATGATAGTGAACATGAGGAAGGAGAGGAGATCTCATCGGCCACTGTTCATCCGGGGGCTCAAAGTGGAGAGGGTGAGCAGCTTCAAGTACCTGGGCATTCACATCAGTGAGGACTTCACTTGGACACTTAACACCACACAGCTGGTCAAGAAGGCCCAACGGCAGCTGTACTTCCTGAGGAGAACCTCCCGCCATCCTCACAGACCCCACCCACCCCCAGCACGGACTGTTCGCCTCCCTACCCTCTGGCCAGAGGTCCAGAAGTGTGAAATGCAGGACCTCCAGACTGAAAAACTCTTTCTTTCCCTCTGCCATCAGACTCCTAAACAGCTGAGGAGTTTATTACCAGGAAATATGTCATGTACTGTCGACCTGTACTGTTTACATTCAGTTTGCACATGCATAATTCCACATTGACTGTTGACTGCTGCACATGCTGCTCCCATGCAGCATACATTCTCTTATTATATTCTAATATATTTTTAATATATTGCTGCATTTGCTGCTTAAAGTGCCTTAGATTTAGTGTTACTTATTTATCTACTTTATATTTCATGGCATTCATGTGGACAGCAAAGTAAGAATTTCATTGTACAGGGAAACACGTTTCTTAACTGTGTATATGACAAACACTTTGACTTTAAATATATCAACATTTGACCTGGTCAGACACTTTGATTTCATTTGATTTTTATTTATTCTTTCAACCATGTAAAGACAGTTGATATGACAACACACATAATTTTACACATATCCAACAAATGCTAATCCAATATCAATTTGCTTATACCTAGTACATGCTTGAATGGAGTAGGAAGAAGTCAGACTTATCCAGTCCTACCCCATGACACTTTACAGTAACATTTAGAAGATAAAAGTAGATTTTTAAAACAATCACAGTATTGCCTACCTGTTCAGCCAAAGTGAACAGAGCACACTGGAGAGCAATCGCATACAGCTTCATGGTGGATCTGAGAGCAGAGCTGCAGGAAACTGTCCCTGAACCCAGTTTGAATATGACTGTGTCTCACTGCACTGGCATCTAAACTTGTGAGCACTCCCACTAACTTCTGCATGTGAGGGAGTGAATATGTGTGTGCGTGCACTCTGTGTGTCACATTTTCTTAATAGGATCACTTCCTTTTTGTGGTTGGGATTGCAGCAACAAGATATGAAATGTGGTGAGTATGCAGTTCAATTCTATTCTGTTTGTATTGTGCTAAAAATCATCTCAAGACACTTTACATAGTAAGATGTAGACCTTACATTATTATAGAGAGAAACAAAACACTTGGCGAGACTGGAGAGAAAAGGCTCGGTTTAATGTAAGAAACCGACAGACCTGGGTTCTCAGTGGGTGGATTTCTGTGTCGACTGGATGGGGTGAGTGGATAGAGGAGAGAGAAAAGAAAAGCATCAGGACAGAACAAACAATCAAACACTGGGCAGGTTGATGTGCCCAGTGACTGCTCATCAGAAACATACAGAGTCAGTGCAACCTGCAGAAATGTGCGGGGAGAGAGAGAGGACACACTATGGGAAAGAGGAGACACACAGTTAATGACATACAATGGTGGCATATAAATGCACTGTGAGTGAGGAGAGGAGAAGAGCTCAGAGCATCATGTTGGGGTGGCAGTCTAGGCCTATAGCAGGAAACCTAAAGGAAAGCTCAGGGTCCCCTGAGCCAGCCTTAACTATAAGCTTTATCAAAAAGGAAAGTCTTAAGTTTAATCATAAAGGTAGAGAGGGGGTCTGCCTCCTCAATTGAGACTGGCTGCGTAGGTTAGACCCGGTCGGGTAAAACAGTGAGTCCCTGTACATGAACAATCTCGGACATGCAGTAACCTCAGGTGCTCTATTTTTTTCCACATCCCCTGGTCACAGTGCAGCAAGAGGTAAAAAATATCCAAAAAACCTCTTGCAGTTGAAAATTTTCGCTTTTAATCTGGCACCGATGGATGTCAGGCAAGCTCACATGAACGCTCACAGCCAGGAGATAATGACCATTCAAGGAAATCCATAAACTATTGTATAAGACTTTACATAGTTGGAAGAAAAGTCTCACCAGCGAAAGTTCATGAGTTGCTTCTAAATAGAAGTACAACACAGGTACACCTCATTTTTTGAGCTTTCAGTCACATTAAGATGACAATTCACCATTGTAACATTGTAGATAAGTCAGAAAGCACAGAAAAGCATGCTATGGGCAGAAGGTATTAGAAAATGGTCTGGTGGAAAAACTATTAAGAGTTCCATTTCAATGCCACATGTAAAAACAAGATCAATGTTGTGATTAAAAAAGTTTATTTATAGCTTGAGAAAAGCCAATTGAGTCTAATAATGAATTGAATCCATTGTTGAGGCTGTCAATGTCAGTATCTAGTGTACATGGATATTAAAATCACCCATTACCACATTATTTTATCTGTACTAATCTATCTGTACTGAGCACTAAATCAGACAAAAAGTCTGAGAATTCAAAATAAGGGGCAGGTAGATGCAAGGGCATTGTTTTGCATATGAACGGTTGGGACATGTCCCTACCAATAATTTGAGAGAACAGAAATGTTCCTACCAATAATTTGAGAGAACAGAAATGTTCCTACCAATATTTGAGCATTATTTTTGGAGTGAAGTTATATTAGAATATTTCTCCATTATTAGCATATTCTCCAGGATTTCCAACTATACGGTAAACTGGAATAAATCCACCATATTGCCACTCTGAAGATGCCAGGGATTCTGCAGCTCAAGATTCTCCCCTCCCACTTCACACTGGCAATATTAAATATTTAGGCATCAGTATTTCTCCCCAGGCTGTCATAACCTTCTAACATCAAGTGCACCCCTCTGCTAAAAAAGATAAAAATGATTTCAAACACTTGTCCAACCTCCCACTCTCACTCACTGGCTGAACTGCTATAGTCAAAATGAAAACTATACCACAAATTAACTAGCTGTTTTCAATACTTCCCACAACACCCACGGATAAATGGTTCAAATCACTTGATTCTCTAACATCACAATTTCACTGGAATAACAAGAAACCCAAAATTTCCCTGTCAATGCTTCAGAAGAACAAATCAAAGTTGCCTAGAAGCACCAAATTTTGAGCATTATTTCTTAGCAAATCAATTACAATATTTAGTTCAATGGATTCCGAAGGATAGTTGTAATAGCTCATGGATAGAATCAGAATAAAATCAATGCAAAATACTTCAGTTGCAGACCTTGCCTTCTTACCATACTCAATTAAGAAAATGAACTATTGCAAAAATATCACAATCTCTGCAATTCTTACAGCCTGGTGGAGAGCAAACAAAACAACTAAATCATCATTAACACTGTGTAGATACACTCCAATTTGGGATAACCCTGACTTTCAACTGCATAACAATCACATTTACTTTCCAACATAGCAACACAAAGGAATCATTCACCTTCACCATCTATCTGAAAACCATTCAATACATTAGTCCAGAAGTAAAGAGTTGGGAGAGAACAGTTTCTCCAGTACCAACAGTTAAAATCCATAATTAAATCAAAGATCTATATAATCAACAACCCCCTGCAACCTTCCATGCCAGCTGAGGAGATAATGAAATTCACAAACTCAAAGATTATATCTATACTTTATAAACTAATGTCAAATACAGATAGAACAATAAAAATACCTATCACTAAATGGGAAAATGATTTACAGAACAGAATGTGACTGCCCTTCTTATACCCAGCATACTATAACAGAAAACAGATGCTCAAACAGATAAGTCAAACAGGAGGTTATTTACTATGGGATACCAGCTCTCAGGTCTCAGGTCACATCTGGTTTTTCTCTCTCACAAGGGCATGCAAAGGTTTACGACCATGTGATATACATCTAGTAACTGATTACAAGGTAAATAACCACTAAAAGGGTATTATCATAAAAATTGCCACCACAACCCGTTTACTCCCTCTGGGTAGCGGTGACAGAGAAACTCTCCACCATCTTGAGCTGTAAAATCCCCCAATCCCCAGAATCAGAGTTGTCTGAGCTATAAGCAGTTGATGAGAGAGAGGTGGTGTGTTGGGTGGTAGGTCAATAACATCATTTCAACAATCTGAGAAACAAACCTGTAGACCAAAGCTTGGGATGTAAGTACAGCAGGATGTGCCTATGATTACACAGACACCTCCATGTGAAGCTGTTAACTGATCTAAGATCATTTGGTCCTGCATGGCTGTGAGCCTGAGGCCTGTTAGTTCCTTCCTTACAGCTATAAAACCATCTGCTGTGGCATTCACAAACATAGGGAATCTGTAATCAAATGGAACTGGTGAGAGCAGAGGTGAATGACCGGGCACAGGCATGTGCGTGGACACATAACAATTACTCAATTTCATAGCTATAACCATAGCTGCAACGATGTGGTTAACAAATCTCTACCACCTATTAGCATTTGGTAAATGGACTGTATTTTATATTCACCCATTCACACACAACATTCACACACCGATGACGACAGGCTGCCATGCACCAGCGCTAGTCAAGCCACCGGGAGCAATTCGAGGTTCAGTGTAGGCATGCGGGGAGACCGGGAGTCGAACCACCAACTTGCTGGTCAGGAGACAACTGCCCTACCTCATGAGCCACAGCCACCCCACATTTATGCGTTTACTATAAATAAACTCAGGATATAATGTGTAGGTTGGTCTTTGACTAAAGTCCCAAGATACTAAACATTAACAATAACACCAAAAAAAGAAAAACGTGAGTTTTGTCCAGGGCAACAGCTTGGTCTTGATGTAAGAGCGTTCCATCGCTGGTCCAACGTTGGCTAAGCTCGTTAGCTCGTGTGTGTGTATTTCATCGGAGCAGCAGGTAGTGGCGTTTGGCTCACACTTCGCTGTTGTGTTGTTTCAAAGCAGCCTCACTTAATCAAGGTGTGTGAATGTGTTGGGTTGGGGTGCTTAGCTGTCGTCTCTGGTGGCTCTGGCACCTTCTTACAGTGGCTGACGTGAATCCAGGTTGCTCTTTCTGCTATCTTAACTGCCATGTGCGTTGTCATCAGGACTTGAAATGGTTCCTGCCAGCGCTTGGACTTCCAGTGTCTCCGCTAGAGCTCCTTTATCACGACCCAGTCCTTGGCTGCAGATCATGTAGAGGTTCAGAGGCTGGAGCCAGGAGAGCTGCTTTCACCTGTTGAAAATCTAAGGAAGAACGCTGGACAGGGTTTTACACTATTATAAATGGTAACAGATTTCCCTTCAGCCAGTTTAGCAAAGAAATAGCAACAGGGCGTTGTTGTCCACCCTGTTCCTACAAGAGAACAGATGTCATACATGCATTTTCTCATTCACAGTCTGTGTGAAAGATCTGGTCGGGTCAGGTAGTCCCAGTGTCGGTGTGGTCTGCAAAGCTAACTTCAAGTCAGTGAACGCTTTTTCAGCATCTAGAGTCCATGTCACTTTATCATTAGATTGAAGGTCTTTTCTATGAATCACTGCACTGATTGGGGCCTCCAATACGACATAATGCTGGAGGGAATTCCTACAGTAGGAGCACATGCCCAGAAAGGACATCATTTGCTTTTGTGGGTGGTTTTGGAAGCTATTGGATACCTTCAACTGCTTTGGGTGAGAGGGATTGCCCTCAACTGTGATCACATGACCCAGAAATGTAACTAAGTTGTACAAACTGCAGTTTAAAGAGACTAACTTTATGTTCAGCCAGGTTCTGAAAGAGTATAACATATTGCAATAAAGCTGTGCCTTTTAGCAAAACAAGTGGCTCAAGGCTTGACTGCAGCATTTACTACTTGCAAGTCCTGCACAAATGTTCATTCTATAGGTTAACCTTCATCTCCTTACTTTTTTTTTATTTACAGGGAGCAAGGGAGTGCGCACAGGGGAGTTCTCACAGGGTACAATTATTTCTGCTTCTGTAAGAGATTAAACATTGGAATGATGACATCAATAGTTACTTTTTATTTTTGAGAAAGTATAGTTGTTTACATAGCCTGTAATCAGATTTGGGTGTAATTACAACTAATACAA